TGGTTTCCAGCCATTTCCAGCCTGGTCTTAGCTGGTCAGGCTGGGAGATGACCAGCTAAAACCACCTTGACCAGCCTAGCCAGGCTGGGAGCCCAGCCACAACCAGCTATGTCCAGCCTAAACCAGGATGGTCAAGCTGGTTTTAGATGGTTTTAGCTGGTCATTTTCCAGCCTGACCAGCTAAGACCAGGCTGGAAATGGCTGGAAACCAGCCTGGAAGTGGCCAAAACCCCTCTAAAACCAGCCTGGTCGACCAGCTAAAACCAGCCAACCATCCTAGGCTGGTTTAAGCTGGATTTTTCAGCAGGGATGGCATCTACAACGTGTGTTTGGGAAAGAAAACATTAGCTAACTAGTGCCATTACCCTTAATTTAGCTGAAAATGAGCTCTGAAATCCCTTTTTATTTTCACCATTCATTCAGAACGGACCTTCGGGTCAATCAAACAGTGGTGAAATGATCAATTTGTGTCACTTTCTCTTTGCTGATAAGATATACAGCCAGGAAAACAACGTTTCTAAGTAACTCCCAACGATTCTTCCAGGTTTCTTCCCACCGCAGCCTCGATTTCGCTTTTGATAATGGCGGCCGTGTGAAATTGGTCAATAGAGAATGCAGGGTTCTTGAGACATCTACAGTTGTTTTACAAGTTACAATGCCGCTGCTTGTAAATAATGTCTTATGTTCTGTTGGTGATGTATAAAACATCCTAATCCATGGTCAGGCATGGACTGGTCACAGGTGGCACCATTTACTGATATTAGTGTATCCGCTATCTGTAGTCTTCTGCCAATGTATCCATATAGTTTGTATCTGCATAAATTAAAAATCCAGAGAAGAGACTGTCAGCCCAACCGGGGTCAGCAAACAGGCCATTCTGGTCCTTGTAGAAGATCTCCAGCCACACCTCGTCCTCCGGGTTTAGAAACATCACTGTTGAGCCAGACGCCACGTCATGGTTCCCGGTGTTGGCATCAAACGTCTTTATCCGGTACTCTCCGTTCTGGACCAGCCCAATGGCCAGGTGCTTGTCAGCCAGAGTGATGTCATAAGAAAAGTAGTAAATTCCTGGATAGGCACAGATGAATTTCCCTGTCTCAGGGTTGTAATGGCCACCCTCATTAAAGAGGATTTTGTTGAACTTTATAGGTGCTTTCTCAGTGGGGTAGCTGCTAGTGATCCCTACTGAGAAAGCGGATTTGGGGACCAAACTTCCACATTTGCAGATGCCGGGTTCTCCTGGAGGGCCACGTTGGCCTTTGTCCCCCTTGTGTCCGAGATGCCCTAAAGGACCAGGAGGCCCTAAATCTCCTGGATCACCCTCAGGCCCTCGCTTTCCAATGAAACCACGCTCTCCACGCTCTCCGATTCTTCCCGTCGGGCCAACTCTTCCTCTGATCCCTGCAACATATAAGCAGCTCTCTTGAAGATGCAGTTGACTTTGAGCCAAAATGTTTTCAAACAGCATTATTCTTGCACTGGCCTAGGCTGAAACTCCTGCCATTAGTAATACAAATCATGCTCAGAATGTCACAATATCTGGGGTCAGGAATGTTACAATGCAGCGATCTTTGCATGTCTTCAACATGATAAACAAATTGCCTGTCATTATGTATCTGAGAATTACCAAAGCAAATATCCAATTAATGAGGGGTGTCAAACGTACGCCCCATGGGCCGGATCAGGCCCACAAACGAATTTAATGCGGCCCGTGAGATGATTCTTGTGCAATTTTTCAATAAAATATAGGCCTACTGCTGTTCCAATTGTGTCCACTGGATGGCGCAATAGCAAACTGTCATCCGCCACAGCCATATCACCCTGCAGCACAAGACCAGTCACTCACTAAAGCTAAGCAGGGCTGAGTCTGGTCAGTACCTGGATGGGAGACCACATTGGAATAGTAGGTTGCTGTTGGAAGTGGTGTTAGAGAGGCCAGCAGGGGGCGCTCAACCTGTGGTCTGTGTGAGACCTAATGCCCCAGTTTAAGTGAAGCGGACACTATGTCAGTGGGCGCCGTCTTTCGGATGAGACGTTAAACCGAGGTCATGACTCTCTGTGGTCATCAAAAATCCCCTGGCACTTCTGGTCAAGAGTAAGGGTGTAACCCCGGTTTCCTGCCCAAAGTCCCTTAATCGGCCCTTATGATCATGGCCTCCCAATCATCCCCATCCACCGAATTGGCTCTATCACTGTCTCTCCATTCCCCCAATAGCTAGTGTGAGGTGAGCGCACTGGCGCCGTTGTCCTGTGGCTGTCGTCGCATCATCCAAGTGGATGCTGCACACTGGTGGTGGTGTGGAGAGACCCCCCTCTCATGATTGTGAAGTGCTGTGGTTGTATGTCCATACACAATAAACATCCTATATAAATACACATTACATATACCCTGTCATACCACATCAGTCCGGCCCACTTGAGAATAGATTTTACTCCATGTGGCCCCTGAGCTAAAATGAGTTTGACACCCCTGATCTAAACAGTGGTTCTCAACCATGTTACTGGAGCCCCAGCTGCATACAGCATAGTGTGAGCCTTAAAGTCCGCAAGAACCAGAAGCCGTGACAGTTATTGTAACGCAGTTCCTAGAGAAATGGAATATTAAATGAGAAAGCAGTGGATGTGGTTTGTTTTCCTACTGTGAGCTGATTGGATGTAGTAAAGTAGGCATTTTATTCAGAAAGATGGGGAAAATGGTTTGGGGAGAGTTATTACAACCTAACAGACTCCTCCACCTCACTATTCTATTGTTAAAACCGACAGCTGGATGGGGCGTGATTAAGTATTTTAGCCCAGGCCAATACCTCAGACAGACCTAATTGAGAATTTTTTCTTTTTTAAGATTTATTTTTGGCCTTTTTTAGATAGGACAGTATTGAGACAGGAAGCAAAGTGGGAGAAAGAGAGGGGGTAGGGAAATGTCCTCAAGCCAGGATTCGAATACATGACACCCTGACGTGCTCCTGCACCATATGTCTACACACTAACCCCTAGGCTATTGCGCCGTAATCTGAGAATTTAATTAAAAACAAACAGAAATTGTTCAGATTTCACCTGAAGATTTACTCGGGCAAATAATTTTTTTTCTTAGTGACATTGTTTACCACAGAACTAGCAACGTGAGCTAGCAAAATCATGGTTAGTTTTGATTTCATGTGTACTTTAAAGCTAAAGTCTGCACAAAGATGCAGGGAGAAAACATTATACCAGGGATCACCAAACTTGTTCCTGGAGGGCCGGTGTCCTGCAGATTTTAGCTCCAACCCTAATCAAACACACCTAAACAAGCTAATTAGGGTCTTACTAGGTATAGTTGAAACATCCAGGCAGGTGTGTTGAGGCAAGTTGGAGCTAAACCCTGCAGGGAAACCGGCCCTCCAGGACCGAGATTGGTGACCCCTGCATTATACTGAATAGCTCCTCTACCTGGATCTCCTTTCACTCCTTTTTCCCCTTTCCGTCCATCCCTTCCATCTCTTCCCGGGATTCCGATATGGCCATCCTCCCCGCGAGCTCCAGGGGGGCCGGGCTTTCCTGGTGCCCCTGGCAAACCTGGGATGCTGCAGATCAACTGAGGATGGGCTCCTTTGGACCTGATCTCCAGCACCTGACCCATAATGCACTGAGAGAGACAGATCACACCCACAACTGTCCACATCGTCAGACCTAAGCAAAGAAAGTAGATAACAGCACATTTGACAGGAAAAAAAATTGTTCTGTGTGAATGACCCCTAAAGCTACTCTACTAGATTGAGTTCTGATGACTGAAGGATATTTGAGTTAGTGAACTCACTGCCATGGCCAAAAACAGCTGCAGATGATTGAGCTTTGTGATGAGGGGTCAAATTTTGTTAAAGGTAGGCATCAAAAAATAAGTAGTCATACAGGGATTGACCTGATCAACAGCAAAGTTTAAACAAACCCTGCTGAAAAATCCAGCTTAAACCAGCCTAGGCTGGTTTAAGATTGATTTTTCAGCAGGGAAGCCTGAAAAGGAAGAACGGCAAGTTCCCTCTTTAAGGAGACAAAAAAGGAAGAAGGGAAAAGCTGTATGCGAAACAAGACTGCACAGCCTCCCAGCACATGTTTTCAATGGGAAAATGAACAGTCTGTTATCATTACACATTTCAATTCATCCCTGCCAAGTATTCCAATAAGATCACACAATCCTGTCCTAACAGATTCAGATGTGCACAGGCATGTGATTACCCAAACCATGCGTTCATGTATACACACAAACTCTTGCAGGGCTGTGTTGTGATAGAACAGCTCAGATGTCTGGCATGCAGCAGTAATGTTAGACCTTTCTGAATGATGACATGGTAAAGGTCCAGTTCATTCCAGAGCTACAACATCACGGAGCTGCAGGAACTGTGGCAGTGAGCAGCATGAGAATACAACAAGGTTGAATCCTGATTGTGGGATCAAATTATTCACTTGGTCCCTTTATTAATCTGGGGTCGCCACAGCTGAATGAACCGCTAACTTATCCAGCATATGTTTTACACAGCTGCAACCCATCTCTTGGAAACATCCATACACACTCAGTCACACTCATACACTACGGACAATTTAGCCTACCCAATTCACCTGTACCGCATGTCTTTGGATTGTTGGGGAAACCGGAGCACCCGGAGTAAACCCACGCAAACATGGAAAGAACATGCAAACTCCACACTGAAACGGCGACTGACGCAGCCGAGGCTTGAACCAGCGACATTCTTGCTGTGAGGCAACAGCACTACCTACTGCGCCACCGCGTCACCACCCTTGATTTATATTCATCTAAATGTTGTTAATGCCCTTTGGAGCAAGTGTTTACAAGTTTCGAGTCCCATGGAGGAGCTCCATATGGATACTTCTGTTTTGTGTTTAGCTTATGATTAAAGTTGTTGAACGTCCGCCAGTTCCTGCCCTTGAATGAGCATGATTGAGCTACTTGTACTGTAAGCAGGGCCGGCGCATCCATAGAGGCAACCTAGGCGGCCGCCTAGGGCGGCAGTATAGAGAGGGCGGCGTTTGCAACACCTCCCTTACCACCTGCGTCCTCAGTTATGTCCGCGACACCTCCCTCACCATCCGCGTCCTCAGATATATTCGCGCATAGACAATAGAATAGAGACGGCGGCGTCAGCGTCACCTCCATCAGCACCCGCGTGTCCTCAGTTAGATCCCCGCATAGGGCGGCAGAATAAAGAGCGCAGTGTCCGCGACACCTACCTCCCTCCCTCCCTCAGCACTTGCGTGTCCTCAGTTATATCCGCGCATAGGGCGGCAGAATAAAGAGCGCAGTGTCCTCCCTCCCTCCCTCAGCACCCGCGCGTCCTCAGTTATATCCACGCATAGGGCGGCAGAATAGAGAGGGCGGTGACGGTGTCCGCCAGTCCGCGACACCTCCCTCTCTCCCTCCCTCAGCACCCACGCGTCCATTATATCCGTGCATAGAGCGCCGGAAAAGAGGTCCGTGACACCTCACTTCATTTTCATAACCGGTCACTTTCGTTTTCAAATGGGGGTTGAGGGCGGCTTGATCGTCCTCTGCCTAGAGCGGCAGTTCAGCTTGCTCCGGCCCTGACTGTAAGGTAGCATTACAGGCAGTGCGAGGTCCCGGAACAGATCGGGGTAACGGATCCGGCTTGTTACCCGAGAAGGGAGAGGTGTCGCGCATGAAAGTGGAGAGGGTGGGGGGAAGGTTGTGGGTGATATTGGGGGGCGTTGGAAAACAGAGGGGTGCGGTGGACGCGAAAGTGAAAGGCAGGGGGTTGTCACGGACGAAAGTGAAGAGGGTTGGGGAGTTGCAGAAGAAAGTGAAAGTGAGCAGTGGATGGGGGAGGAGGGCAGTTGAGAAGGGGAATCTGTAAAATGAGGTGCCAGATCAGATTTCAGAGGCATGTTCTAGCACAAACATACAAAACTTCAGACGTGAAGAAACTCGACACGAGCTACATAAAACCAGCTAGTGTTTCGGAAGTGTTCTTGCAGAGCAACACAAACAGAATGCAAAAGTATAAATGCTTTTAGCTACATGCAAGACATATGCCGTGGGTCACGGCGATCACTCAACGCAAAAGTATAGTTCAGCCATAAACCTTGAGGAAAGCCTACCCAGACGAGTTGTAATGGCAAATAGTGCACTAATCCATTTTAAAGTCTACAGATTAAGATTAGGACGTCATTAAAGGCAGATGTCCCAAAACCTTTGACAATATGTCTGTGCAAGCAATAAGTTGCAGTTCACATCAGCTATCAGTGTCACTAACAACAAGGCTTATAATCTCTACATGTAGCCCTTTAATAGTGACGGGTCGTTCTTGAACGATTCATTCATTTTGAACGGATCTTCAATATGACTCAGACACTACAAGTCCTCTCAGGGAGTAGTTCATCCGCATGTGCGCACATTTGTGCAGGTGGTATCGTTCATTTCAGGTCTTTTGAGTCGTTCATCGCGGAAATACAGAAGCCAACAATATGCATTTAGAGCCGGAAAAAGAACTGATCCGTTCATCTCTTGAGTCCTCTATTGGGTCTGAGTCATTCTGTCACGTGATGAATGAACGACTCGAGAACCAGAGGACTCAAAAGGTGAACTAATTATCATGGCTCCTATCGACTCAGACTGTGCACATTGGTTAAAGATTATATGTGACTGTCAGTGTAACGTGAACGAACCCCTGGCATTTGAAGACATGAAGAGGTGAGCTGAGCAGAGAGACAACAATACCATCATAGACAAAAGAGCAGGTAAACGTTGAATTATTATTTTCTCCTTCTTATAATATTCTATTCATGACTTATTTGTCGTGTGATCAACCTTTTGGGCTAGTTGGAGATGTGTTTGGAAGCAATTCGTAATATTTTAATAATATTTTGGCAAATTGAACCAAATGAACGAAATCACTCGAAAAGGATTCGTTCATCTCGATGAACGAGACTCAAAGATCCGAGTCAGTAAAATGATCCGAACTTCCCATCACCACCCTTTAAGGCTCTATATGACTTGTGGCCTTTTAAAAAGTGATTTAATAAGTGAAGTTTATTCATAAACTAATTTCGAGAGGATCACGTGCTTATGATTGACACGGCTGGCCCCGAGTCAAGCTAATGTACGAACCACCAATCAGACTATTCCTAACAAAGTATAAATAACCAAACATCTTACCTTTAGTCATCTTCGTCTTGAAGAATCCCCCCTTCCACCCCTTCTCCTCCTCTTTTGTCTACAGGGCAGCACGGCGGCCCAGTGGCAAGCACTGCGGCCTCACAGCAAAATGCCTCCGGTTCGGGCACCTACTCAAACGGTGGGCATTTTCGTGTGGAGTTCATGTTCTCCCCGTGCTTGCGTGGGTTTTCCCCGGGTCCTCCGGTTTCCTCCCAAAAACATGACACTTAAGTAAATGGACTAAACCAAATTAGCACCAAATTCGATTCAATTCTGTCAGCAACGCATCACCTTAGCAACCCTCACGCAGCAGGAGGTGGGGGGGGGGTAGTTTCCTCGAGATCTACCAGAGCTCAAACTCCCCTCTCGCCCTGCAACGGGAGGGAGCCTCGGGCTTGAGGCTCTCATGAGCTTGGGGCTCTCTCCCGGAACAGCATGCCAAACTAGCTTATTACCAATCATCAGCTAAGTGTGAACTCTTGAAATAGCATTTTATCTAGCAATGAATCTTATAACACTTAGTAAAGTTGCAAAGCTTTTCATTTTTGGGTGGCCTATTGTGAATCATGAAATTATTTCATTAATCAAGTTTGAAAATGAGTAAAAGGCATCTGGTAATGCAAAGAAGAGCAAATGAGCACATGTGGTGGTGTTTCTAGCCAAGAGAGAGTTGGACTGCATCCATGGTTCGCTCATCTTTAGCACTTTTATATGGAGGCTGGATTCCTTGCTGAGGGAAATGTTACTTGTTGCTTGTTGTGGTTACACTTGAGCTGTATTGCTCATGTGGGAGATACAGAGACAAGGCTCTAGTAGTAAAAATCATCTCTCCGTGTGCTGAAAAGAGTTACAGAAATCGGTCCTTCATATCTGATGAGTCAAGCACAGCTGTGACTGCAGAAAATACTTTTACACGCTCATATATCCGGTGTAGGTTGAAGAATGCAATACAACATCTGTGATGTTCAGAAGTGTGAAATTAGAGTACCAAACATCCTCCCTGGAGAGACAAACACTGTTACTGTGACAACAGACTGAACACAAGAGTTGATGTCTGTTAAGGGAACAGCTCATTCGGAAAAAGCCGGTGTTCTGTTGATTTGCCCTACCCTTAAGATTTTGACCAAGAGAAGATATGTGCTGCGGAGAGGTGTGATATACGTTGATGTACACACAGGAGGTTGTTATCACAGAATAAAGCCTGACATTAAACAGAGCACTGTTGTATAAGACTGAATAGTGTTGTCCTGCTTAATACATGGCTAAGAATTAGCCACAAAACATAGGAATTAGACACAAAGCATTGTTCTGAGATGTTATAGTTCATACGTTTTTCTAATTAATTGCAAAGCTGACAGAAACTAAGGGCCTACTCACACTATGCTATCTGAACCGTGCCAAGGCCTGCTCCCGGATCGTTGATGATCTGAATCGGACTCAGGCACAGTTCATTTGGCCGGCCCTGGCCCACTTGGAAGAGGTTGGGCCTTTGCGCGGTTTACTTGGGCTTTGGCGCGTACGCTTGTGTGAGTGCAAAACGTGCCTAAGCCCGAAACTAAAAGCAAGACGTGACTTTTAAGGGGCTGTTTCATATGGATTTATTAATCATTCTTACTATTCAGTGAACGCAAACTGCCGTAGTCTATTAAATATGCAAACCCCTCACTGCACAACAGCTGCACCTTTAGCAGACCTCCTAATTCCTGCAGCATAAGGACTTTCTAAATTGTTTATGAGTGTCAAAAGTGGCTGAAATTACAGGAGTTTTCCCGGAGAAATAACAAAACAGGAGGAAGGCGGGAGCGGGGTCTGAAATACGGGAGACTTCCAGGAAAAACGGTAGTGTTGGCAGGTATGGAGGGCAGTCACGCATTCACTCTGGGCTGGGAAAATAAATAATACATATATTTTTCATATCACAGCCTCTCGCAGTTAACTAGCAACGTTTCAAATTGCGATTTCGATTAATCGCACAGCCCTAGTGATTAATCCTAGAGGACATTGGTATTATTTACTTGCTTGGGGCAAACCATTATGCACTTTATCACAGATTGACACTTACAGGCAGCACACTGTAATAAAAAGGAATAGTTATCAGCATTAGTTAATTGATTACATTAAGAATTGCAAAGTTTTCCAACCTGTTTTGTTGACATTTAATTAAAATTTGACCTAATGTGTATATATATATATATCTGGCACACAAATCTGAACACTTGATGACAACAGGTTCATTTTTTTATGATTCACAGTCAACTTTTTTTCATCACATTTAGAATTCAGGAAATACTGCAACACCCAGAAAATACATGTGTTTTCACAATTATTTGTGCAGTAAATTCAGCTGTAATAATCTGGCTAATTTGGTAAGAGCATATCATAAAAACCTACACACACACACACACACAAACACAAACACACACACACAGACACACACATATAAATAAAGCTGAACAGACTGTAAAGATATAAGTTAAAATTTAAATCTAAAGACACAAATTGAAAAAAAATGCAATAAAAAAAGACTAAATATTGTATTTCGAATGTTTATTTCTTACAATATAGTTTAAAAACAAATCAATTACACTGGAAAAAAAATATTCAAAGATGATTCCTTGGATTTACTAATTTTTTTTTATGTTAAGTGGTTGTAAACAATTTATTTGAGCTGAATTTAAACAAACAAATTAAGTTGAACATTATTAAATTTAATTTGTTTGTTTAAATTCAACACAAATAAATTGTTTGCAACAGTTCTGCATGCAACACTTTTGTTGCAAAACACTTTTGTTTGCATGCAACAGTTGACAGGGGTCCTGCTATAGCGGGTTTTATAGGAAGGTTGCTCTTATTTCATTCAGCAATAGTCTGCAATTCTCCTAGCAGACCCAAATCTTGTGTAATAAAAGAGAAAAAAAAGACCTTATGAGGGTTTGGAAGAACATGAAGTTTGATGATTATGAAAACTATTTTAGAAATCAACACATAAAAACACAAGAGCAAATGAACTCATTTTGGTTTGCCCTTACCAGAAAGCAAATCGATATGAATCAAAATACATTTTTTAAAGGATTTATAGTGCACATCTCACAGTCACTTAAAATAGCTGAAACGTTTTGCTTTTCTTTTTGACAAGATTTGTAGCTTACCAGTTTTTTGTTGGAGGTTTTTTTTCGCCGTCTTTGTTTATTGTTTTAGTGCTTCTCTTAGTTTGAGCCGTGTCTTATTTTCTGGCCTTCGGAAATCTTCTTTTCTTTCTTCCTTTCTGTACATCCATGAATGTGGTGAATGTTTGCATCTCTTCTTCTCTCTGGTCTTCAGTTCTCCTCATGTTTGTGAATATGTCTGAATGACGGCATCTCTGCAAGATCTCTGTGCAGATTTCCTCATTTACTGACTGACTGAGAGAGTTACTCCACCCACTGCTGACACACTCCTCTCCATACACACATTTCACACAGCAATCACAGATTACACAAGGAAACAATCACAAACATGGCTAGGAAATCTGCTTAACACACAATGTTCAAAATGTGTGTAATTTCACATTTAGGTTGCGTTTTTTCAGCTAACATTTATTATAAACCATATTTTATCTGACGAGTAACAATATGAGAGAAAGAAACATAATTTTTGCACACACAAAAAAATATATTACATAGAACCTATTGTGCACAAATCACTGTTAAACTAGTATTTTTTCTAATCAGACTTGATAAAAACAGTTCTACAAAAACGTTCTACAAACGTTTCACCTGTGTTAGATGCTTAAACTATAAACTGATTTATAAAAAGTGAGTTAATATATTAGTTAAGTGTTAGTTATTAGCTTAAGTATGTTATAAGGACGTTATTCTAAAGTTGCAACTATTCCTCATTTACTAACAGTTTATACATGATGAATAGGTGCTTTACTTTAGAATAACAACCCAATAACATATATAAACTATTAACTGATATTTAACAAGTTTTTAGTAAGTAATTTACCAACAGCTTGGACATGATCTATTACTAATTTATTAGGTATAGTTAAAAATCATTAAAATACAGTTAACAAGTTTATAACTCGTTAACCAACAACTTGTAACAGTAGACTTTTCTTTGGTACAAGCCAAAGTCCTCTCTGAAGATTTGGGTGCACAATCCTGAGTACAGCGATGCATCCTTAACATCAATGCCACACTCTGTCAGATCTTCCTCATAGAAGATCATAAAACCTTTCCTCAATTGCTGGAAGGCCAGTTTTCCAAGTGACAAAATGTTGTCTATACTCAAGTATGGATTCAAGTGATGCAGTTCTTTGTACTTTTCCGTCATCTGTATTGTTTGAAAAACCAGAAAATGCGAATACATTTCGGTTAGAGACTTGGGGATTTGATAACCCTCGTTTTCCCCCAACATCCTCTCCAGAACAGTGGCTGAGATCCAGCAGAACACTGGGATATGACACATGATGTGAAGACTTCTTGATGATTTGATGTGTGTGATAATTTTGTTGGCCAGAATCTGATCGTTTAACTTCCTCCTGAAATATTCATCTTTCTGGGGGTCGTTGAAGCCTCGTACCTCAGTGACCTGGTCAACACACTCAGCAGGGATGTCACTGGCTGCTGCAGGTCTGGTGGTGATCCAGAGGAAAGCTGAAGGAAGCAGATTCCCTTTGATGAGGTTGGTCAGCAGCACATCAACTGCGACTGGTTTTGATACATCAGAGCACATTTCATTGTTTTTAAAATCAAGAGGTAGTCGACACTCATCCAAACCATCAAAGATGAATATGACTTTATATTTCTCCAAATGTGAAAATTTGAATCCCTCGGTTTCTCTGAAGAATAAACGAACAAGCTGCTCCAATGTGTACTGCTCCGTGCTAATCAAATTCAGCTCCCGAAAAAGCAATGGAAACACAAAATGCACATCTCGGTTGGCGTGTCCTTCTGCCCAGTCCAGAACAAACTTCTGCACTGAAAATGTTTTTCCAATGCCAGCAACCCCTTTGGTCAGAACTGTTCTGATGCGTTTGTTTTGTCCAGGTAAGGCTTTAAAGATGTCATTGCATCTGATTGGTGTTTCATGTGTCTCAGGTCTCCAGCATTGGGTCTCAATCTGTCTCACCTCGTGCTCATTATTGACTTCGCCAGACCCTCCTTCTGTGATGTAGAGCTCTGTGAAGATCTTGTTGAGTTGGACTGGATTTCCATGCTTAGCAATACCTTCAAATACACGTTGACTCCTGTTTTTCAAACTGGATTTAAGATTTTGCTGACATGCATCAATCTGATGAACTAAATAAAACAAGGAAGATAAGATTAGTCACATTTCTTTTTTTCTACTGTATTTTTTTCTTGATTGCAAATACTTTATCACAAGGCTTTTAAACTAAACTTTCAAAATAATAACAAACTGTCCAGCAATTTTCATAAAATTTAAACACTATTCCCCGCCTTTGGCACTAATCATATTTAGTGAATTGTTACTGCAAAACTGTACACATTTAGATCATATACTCATTTAGATCTCAAGTGATTATGTGTCATCATATAATTTATGATAAGTCATTCAAGGAGAATAAGTGGAAGAAAAAATTATTAAAGAGGAGGACTACAAAGAGGAAAAGAAGTACGGACAGGAAGAGTAAGTGTCACGGAGTACGGTGAGTGTCAAGTCTAAAAGCGATGTTTGTTTTTTCAGCAGGATTTAGTTGTTGAGAGCTTAATTTTAATTTTTGACATGGATATTGAAATTTACAAGAAGGGGGACAGAGTTAGAGGTCATGGATCTGCATTTTTGGAAAAGGAAGGCATACTTTTAAGGAATTTAGGCAATTAAGAAAGAGCTGTTACAGATAATCATTTTCTACCAAAACAAATACTAACATTGAAGTAGTTTGTCAAAGAGGCTTTGCTCCTTCATGCACTTCAGAATGTGTAACGTGATTTTGACAGTTGCTTCTTTGGCTTCTAGAGCATCTTCATCTTCATTTAGCTGGCTTTCCGAACAATCTATACGGTTGGGATCCAAAACACTGTTGATTTTTCCGAGCTCATTTATTACAAAAGTGACCACATTGTCTTGAAGTTTCTAAGGGAAAAATAAGGAAATTGTTAATTCCTTTTATCCATACAATATTGTCCTTTTCAATATACGTATATGATACAAATACTTAAACATAAATCTAACCCTCAAAATAGCAGCAGTGTCTTTTTGATCTTTTGTAGTTGACTCACTGTGCAATTCTCTTGGCTGGTCACTGCATTTAAGACACTACTTATTAAAAATTAAGACATTTGACCAGTAAGAATGAAGAAAATTTAAAACAAATCCAGACATACCTTTGAATGGGAGAATCCTCCATTGGCAAATCAATTGGTGGACTCATTGACCTGTTACTCCGAACGGACACATGTGTGTGGGAGAATGACTCAAGAAAGTCTGCCGGAAGACTTGGTGACAGAGCAGAATACATTATTAATTATTATCATATTAATGGTGTAAATGATACAATGGTGTGTTTAGGTCCATATGACACTAACAAAATGAACAGCTTGAATGACTGAAGAACATCTCACTTGCATCTTACTTAGTATTACTCATAGCAAACAAAGTAATAACTGCAAACTTAAGACACCTTGCAAATTCTAACTTTAAAATAAATTTCTGTATATTCTGGAGAGTGCCAAATATGTCCCAGACGTTGTTGTTTTTTTTTTTTTTGGCAGTTTTTGTTTTCGTGAATCCACCAGAGGCCACTGTGTACGCTTTTTTAGATCTCTAATCTCTCTTGCGAGTGCCATTCATTATAGCCACAGCCATATCCCTCTGCAGCCCAAGACCGGTTTACTTACTGAAGCTAAGCAGGGCTGAGGCTGGTCAGTACTTGGATGGGAGACCACATGGGAAAACTAGGTTGCTGTTGGAAGTGGTGTTAGTGAGGCCAGCAGGGGGTGCTCAACTAGGGAGTCCTAATGCCCCAGTATAGTGAAGAGGACACTATACTATAAATATGCTCAGAGACATTAAGACAAGGGTCTTTCAGATGAGAAATTAAGCCAAAATCCTGACTCTCTGTGGTCGTTAAAAATCCCATGGCACTTCTGGTAAAGAGTAGGGATTGAACCCTAGTGTCCTGGCCAAAGTCCCTCCATCTGCCCTTACCCATTATGGCCTCCCAATCATCCCCATCCACCAAATTGGCTCTATCACTGTCTCTCCACTCCCCCAATAGCTAGTGTGTGGTGAGCGCACTGGCGCCGTTGTCCTAGGACTGCCGTCGCATCATCCAAATGGATGCTGCACACTGGTGGTCAAGTGGGGAGACCCTCCTTCATGATTGTGAAGCGCATTGGGTGTATGGCCATACACAATAAATGCACTATATACATACACATTACTAAATTACTTACATTCTACTAACATTACATTACTAACATTTACTTACATGGCGTAAATCCACCAAAGGCCACTGTCAACAGACTGACTGACTGGCCAACCGATCGCCCCACCCTAGTCTTTCCCTAAACCCAATCAATAGGGTTTTACAAAGCACAGATTGACCTAAACCCAACCAACAGTGTTTTCAAGAGCCATCCAGAAAAAGAAAAGCCCTTTCGGCTGCCTGGTTTTTACCCCATTTTCATATTTTACCACATCCTCACCCTGTTACTTGTTTATTTAGTTTTTTGGCTTTTGTCTTATGTGCTTTCTGTAAGTGTTCTTTGCCGGACTAGAAACCCTGTCGTCACAGTCAATTCTGCTCTGCATCTCAAATGTACGTGGCGAGCTACTGGACGTACTGGTAACAGCAGAAAAGCTGTCCACACGGAGGTAAGCAGCCAGCTGGTAAGTGTAAATAGGAACGGCGTCATACAGCCCCATAAGCATTCATTTTAAAGACGAGAAGCAGCCATACGTACGTCTGGCTACATTATCTGCGACCTCCAGAAATGTATAAAGGGCAACATTTTCAGAATGAGATATTATTAGGTAGTTTGGTCATTTATGTCACTAATATGGCAATCATCAAACGTCATCTGCGAAAAAAAAAAATTCCGCTTAGTAAAAATGTTAGTGTTTCATTTGGAACGACACTACATACATACTGTATACTATGCTGTTGAGTGTGTAAGTACATAGTGCATAAGTGCATAGTGTGCCATTTGGGACACAGCTATTCACTATTCCCTACATTAGTCCACCAATATAGTCTTCTAGAGCAGGGGTGTTAAACTCAATTCCTAGAGGGCTGAAGCCCTGCACAGTTTAGTTCCAACCCTGCTCCAACACACTTACCTGTAGGTTTCAAACAAGCCTGAAGGACTCAATTAGTTTGATCAGGTGTGTTTAATTAGGGTTGGAACTAAACTGTGCAGAGCTGCGGCCCTTTTGGAACGGAGTCTAACACCTGTGCTCTAGAGGAAGTGAATGAAACGAGTGAGTGGATTCAAGCACTGAGTGCACTGAAGGGCGGCCATTTTGTTTGTGTTTTGATGGTTGATAAATCCTTCAGATGCATTAGAACAACTAAACGCTGTGATAGTTATTTAACACTCCATTAGTATTGAAACAAAGACTTTTGATTTATGTATAGTATATAAGCGGTACTATATTTGAATTATATGTTATTTTTAAACTATACACTGATAGGATTCTGCTTTAGATGCCATCTCGTGGTCAAATTGAAAATTCATTGAAATTCATAAGGTGCAAATATTTAAAAAATCTCACAGTGCATAATGAGTATTCTCAATCTGTTGAGTGTACATGGGTTGTAGTGTTGTTATAGATGTGCATTGTGGGATTGATTGAGTGCACTTCATAATGTCCACTATGCTTTTTG